AATATTTTTTACATAGTAACACAATGTAAACATTGCTGTTTTAGTTTTCACATATAAAACTGTATTCTTTATTCGAAAAAGATTAAGACTACACACGCACGCACATACAGACACAAACTAGAGTGCTTCTAAAACTGCACAAAGACCCCCCCCCCGTCCTCCATTGATTTACGTCTGACCTCTGTTAAATTCTTGAGGAAATTGGCCTTGTGTCTGAGTGGGTCATGGACCAGGCCATCACAGAAGGAGACGATGCCATGAGGGAAGTTGTGCTGAGACAACCAAGCCACCACCCGCTGCTTCTGCATGTCTGGACGTCCTGTTACATAGATGATCAAATAACCCAAATCCTGCCAGTGCCTGCAAAGAGGAGCAACAAGAGAATGAAGACATAAGTAACAACCAAACATGTTTACATAGTTTGATCTGGAAAAACTTCAAAACGACATGAAGAAGCGTAGTAGGTACCTGACAACGTCCACAGCTCCTGCTCTCACTTTGGGGTCGCTGCCCATGATTGACACACTGGCAGCAAAAGACCCGTCAATACTGAATACCACAAACTCTGTGCCACGTGGAATAACTGTCAGGTAGCTGTCTGCAACCGTGTGGTCACCCCTGAGCAATAAGGAGAAGAACAGAGACAAATGCATTTTCTTGAATTGCACTTTGAGGACACTAAAATATATAAAATCAATAAACTACACACATCATCAGGTCTTGGATATTGAAAAACTACCAAACTAATCTCACCTCACAACCATTTTAACTGGGTAGACTCCGATGCCCAGTCGCTTGTCCTCTGGGAGGATAAAAGACACACGGCCGCTGCTGTTTGTCACCTCTGTGTTGAAGTACACCCACTCTCCTGATGGAGGCTGGGTCATAATGTGGAGGTCAACCTGGACAGGGGTTGAAAAACAAAAAAAGATGAGCACAAGTTACACAGATCACAAGTTACACATGGCATCAGTGACACACAGTCTGATAGTCCACGAAAGTTCACCTTCTCTCCGGCCAAAGTGACCATGTCCAGAGGGCCGTACATGAAGCGACCTGTCACGACCTGCTGACTGTCCTCATTTAACACAGCATCGTTCACCCGGTGGTTGGCAGTGACATTCTGTCGCAGGAGACAAAGAAAGACGCATGGAGAAATGTAGTTTTTGTGTTTGAATTGAACTATACCACAAGGGTTATGGGGTTTATTTCCATTTTAAGAGTGTGGTCTTTCAGTTTAAGAGCAGAACTTCTTGATTTCACAAAACCTAGAGCACGCACTCAAATTGCCCCTTCTTGTGCTCAAGCGGAGCTCTTGCACCAGCTTCAGCTCGTCTCTTCGCACTCACGCTGCTTCTGTGTGCTGTCGGAAATTACCCGACCAATAGCATGCCAGGTGTAGTGTTGACAAATGTATTGCGTTAGCTTTATGTCCCATACAGGCTTTACCAGGTTTATGCACTACCGCCCTCCACGGTTGTATTGTTTCTACTCGGTTTCATTAATATACCAGGATAATACATCCTCATGGATCATGAGTCCAACAGATCACTGATCAACACGGAGCTGCAAAACTATGAGCAAGCAGATGAAAAGACAACACTCGATGCTGAGTTGCTTTTTCTAGAGTTTCTTTTGAATATCTGAAGAACTTTATTTTGAAAGACAAGTCTAGTATTGAACCCTGGATGTTGTGATTAGAATGAATCATATTATATGTTATAGAAAGTATCAACTCCAGCTCCAAAGCACCTTGAAACTGGTGTCTGATTCCTACCCTGATCTTTACATGAGTCCTCTTGCGGAGCCACTTCTCTCGAGGTTTGGACGGGGTGAATTCAGACACTTCTTTCCCATCGAGCTCCAGGATGCTGGAGTTTTCATGCCTCATGACCTACAGGGGACATTTCAATGACTCATCCTGCAAGTCACATATTAACAGGCCATAAAGAAAGGCAGGGATTATAAGGTTTACTCACTTGTCTCAGGAGAAAAGACACAACATCAGTGGACTCCCAGTAAGAGGCGTGGAAGAGGTGCGGTAAAGCCACTGTGGGAAAAGCGGTCAGAGCATCGGGGCAGTACAGGGCAAAGTCCAGCCGCTTTGTGCCCCACCAGCGTGCAGCAACTGCGAGTGGAATTGAGGGAATAGGGTGACAGAGATGTAAGATGACACTTCTAGTGGGAGGTGTGTGATGCCACGCAAAGGTGAAGCACCCCTGAAGCTATTATTTCAATCTTTAACCACAATCATCACTGATCCCAGCAGTTCTTCAGCTTTAGGAGGGAGAGGAAGGAGTTTAGAACCCTTATTGACAAGAAGTGTTGAAGTGCAGGCATTCAAGTACAGAAAGAAGAAAAACATGTTAGTACAGGCCTGAAAAAAAGATGATGGATTTGGAAAGAAGCTGCACGATTTGGGTTTACAATTATCCCTCATTAGTGGAAGCGATTTGAATCTATGTATTTATGTATACAATTTTCAAAGCATCCAAGTAAAGAGGAGGAAAGAGAGGCTTTCTGCAAGAGCAGCAAAAATCTTTGGATTTGGAGCAAAGCATAGAGCAGCACACAGAAAAAGACCTGTAGCTTCACGTTTATTTCACTTGTCCCCTCCCTTAGAAATATACCTTGCTCCACTTCAGCCTGGGAGTCCAGCGAGACCAACTCAGATATAGCACAGTCCAGCCCTGCTGACAGGCAGTTCTCGTACTGGCCAGTGGGACTTAGAGGCTCGTTATTGTCTGCCTCAGCGTCCAGCTCTGCTGCTAGATCTGCATCGGGAGATCCCGCCGCCTGGCCAGCCCGTGCTTTCTTACGGGACTTAGGAGGACTTTTCAGGAAGAATTTATTTTGTGACGATAAGGCGAGTTGGGACAAAAGGCTCAACTTTTTGGATTGGTTATTTTGGCATGAATTGGCTATGGGAAGAGAAGAAAAGAGAAAGACGCCAAGTAAAAAAGAGTTTATGACAGTTTGAAGAACAATGTTGGGATGAGTCCAGTGTCAGTGAGCTGCCTTAAACACAGCTGCTGGGGCGAAAGCTGAAAAATAACAGTTATCAACAATTAGGATGGTCGGATACATAGATCTTGTCATGTGCACCTTCCTAGTTGTGCCATGGGTGCTAAAAAAGTAGTTTTCAGAAAAATAATGTGAAGTACACACAAAGGTTCTGGTAACAAAAGTGAAAGAGTGAGGGACAGGGGGCTCAGGAGGACAATCAAACAAACAGGAAACAGAATACCAGTTATCTCAGTGGACATCGCAGTAGGGAGTGGACAGTGCAGTGATGGCTGAGGGAGGCAGGTGTCTACATGCATAACAACATCAGATAAATGCAGCACTCGTTCTTTGCATTTACATTGAGACAGTGGAGAAGAGAAAGACAGACAGTGGAGAGTGGCGCTAAGCTCGCTCTTCAGGACTCTGCTTGGGACTTTTAACAGGAGGCTGACGAAGTGACCCGCATGAGTCTCCCTGCTTGGTGCCGGTGTTCAGCCTGGCTGGTTGAATAGCAAAAGGAGGGAGGTATTCGTGCTCTACCTGTCTGACTCGTCTGTTCCGCTGGAGTGCAGGGTGTGTGTGTGTAAAGTCAGAGGAACAGGGGTTGAGAGAGAGAAGATGTGGGAGTAGAGTTAAGGAGACAGACTGATAGAGAAAAGCTCGAAAAAATGGAGGAAAAAAAAAAAAAAAACTTGTACCAGTGTTTGTGTGAGTGGAAGGCAGAGAGATAGAGAGACTGGTTGGTATTGAGAACACTTACTGTTAGCTATGTTGGTGGCAGTGTAACTGTCTGCCATTCCTGAGACCTGGCTGGCAATGCTGACCTCACTGGCCCTCCGCTGGCCCCGGGAGAGGGGGCCCGTTACGGGGGATGAGGGGTACGAACTGTCCATGAAGACACCACCATGAGACTGAACAACATCCGCTATTGAGTCGAAACAAGGAGATCCCATTAGACAAGAGACACAGGAACATAGAAGTTCACAGAGATGGGAGGTGGGAGATGTGGGAGAGGGGTGAGACGGCAGGCAGCGTGGTTTCTGAGGACATGTGAAACCACAAGGCCGCCACATGGTAGCCAAGGTATGATCTCTGTCACCGACCAAGGGGCAACACAGAACATGAGTACATAAAACACTTAATGAATCACAAATGTCCACATCTCTTATAGTCACATCCATGTGTTAGTAGTTCTTACCAAGGTTGATTTCCTTTTATCTATTAGCACAGTGATATGTAAAAAAAATCCTTGAATTATTTCTGGACATTTTATAAAATCAGATGACCTCTGACCACAATCACAGGGAGAAACACAGAGCACACAGTATATTCAAGATGTTAAGATAAGTAAGTAGAAACACAACACCAAGAGCGGCACAATACTCACATCAAAACCTGAAACACAGACATCTATAGCAATTACCCTCTGCTGACATCAATAATGATGACACACTAAAGCCTCGCTCAAAAACCACAGCACAAACACAAATGCTTGCGTCCTACAAACATTGAATGCAACATGAATGTATGAAGGCAGGGACAAACATAAACACCAGATGAGATGTTGCTCAGATTTCCAAGTATTTCCATGGCATTTTGATTCCAAACCGTATAATATTCGTCAGTCAGTAAAATAGACTGCCACAACAATTCCAGTTTAAAGACTTGATGCTACAAGGAGAGGTCTATACGCAGTGAATCTACAGGTTTAACAGAAACAAAGTGACGGGGATATTTGTTTAGACCCTGATCTGACCTGGTATTAACATCCACTCTGAGTGATCCAAACACAAGAGGTCAGCACTAAGTACAGATTCAATTCTCGCTCTCTCTCTTTCCCCCCTCCTCCCTCCCTCTCACTCGCTCTCTCTCACTCTCTCTCTCTCACACACACAGCCATCGGACACATTGGTAAACTCTGACTGGGTAAATCAACAGAATTTGGTCTTTAAGAACACAAATGACATATGTGTTTATTTGCATATAAGGCAGAGAAGTGAGATCCGATCACAAGTGGTCACATGTTAAAGACGTACTTTAATACAAGATGTGACCACACCTACTTAATACTGTCCACTTGTGATTGAATCTCTCAGGTCGGATGTTAATACCTGAACAGGGCCTTCGATATAAATCTGAGCATCATGGATGAGACAGCAAGACGGATGGAACGGACAAACAAAGGAACACGGTGAATGGGGGAGCAGAGACGGATGCAGATGAATGGGAGAGGCTACACACACTCCATAGTGGCGGGTGTGGCTTTGAGGGAGCCCTCCTGCCAGTTTAGCACAGGCACAGGGATGCAGGTCTCACTGATGGTCTCCTGACAGCGAAGGGACAGGGGATGCCCGCTGTCAAGCAGCAGCTGAGCGTTGCTCTGGACTGTCTCCACTACAGAGGGAGGTGGAGGGGGAGGGCAGAGGAGGGGGAGGCAGAGGTCAGGGGAGGGGGTTTGAGGAGGTAGAGAGCGGAAGTGTGCAGATATGGGGACAGGAGGCCGAGAGGAGGAAGAAGGAAAGAAGACAGGGAAGACACAAAAACACATGAAGCAAGAACAACTGAACGTAAGACAAGAAAGCAGAGTCAAGCCCTTAGTTGAGCCAACTTCTCTACACCACAACTGCTTCTTAGTGATTTACTGTCACATCAAACTGTTCTAGATGCTGCGACAGAATCTAGTATCTTGAATTTATCAGTTTACCTGTACTGAAAGATTTGTGAATAAGTTTTACTAGGAAGACCTGAGGATATTCAGAGACAACTCATTTGATGAGAACAATCACTTTACGACTCTAATACATTGAAACCCTGACCTGAAGTAACTGAGATTATTACCTAGAAGTCTGGACTTTCCACAAGGATACTGAGTATTGAGCCAGTGGGGAAAGTTGGCAGCTATTGGGGTCCAGGCGTCATTCCAAAAGCATTGTTGTAAAAGTCCAAATTTAGTGCCTCTGTTAAATAGCCACTGTTCCTTCATAGCCACTGATCTTTTCTACCTGATTGTTGACATGTAGCAATTTATAAAAGAAATACTACGTACAAAGAAAACTTACGAATTAGAGAATTACGAGAAAATGAATTAAAAAGGCAGATGGAGATTATTAAACGTGCTTATTCTCTCGTGCGCCGGTGGCATTTGATAGTCCTTATTAAACACCTTGTGCCTTATAAAGGTGCTTATCAAACATACTTATTCACTCGCATGCACAGTAAAATATGGCTGATTGTACAAGTCAAACAGAGAATTAGAATTTAAGGGCACAATAAGCCTGTAAATCAGGGTTGGCAATCTTTTTTGAAATCCTCTTTATGTCCCGGGAGCGATCAAAAAATTCAGTCATTTGAAATACCAGCTGGACTCCAATGAGCAGTCGGCTATTGAACAGCAAGCTCTTGTGGAAAGCACCAGTTAGTCCTAATGTCACTCTTTAATGAGCCATGGTTCCTGGTTAGGAGGTGGAGGCTATTTCAACCAAGAATACTAATAATTAATTTGCTAATTGTTGAGCTGCTTTAAAAATGTCTCTGTCAATTTTCTAAAAGAATCTTTGAGGTAGGTTTGTGTCTCGCTTGAGGCTCTAAGGGTTACTCTACTGTAACAACCAGTCTGAACAGAAATCACCATCAGGACTATGACCACATTCAGATGAATAAACTGCTTCACAAGAGACTTTGAAGCACAAACAGTAGAAAAATGGTTCATTTTTCTCCATGAAATCTCTGTGAAAGAACTCATAGTTTGCTGCTAAAGCATCTTTAAGGCATGTGTTGTCTATGGCATGCAAGTGTCAGCTGATGTGTCCTCAAGTCAACAGAGCAAATCAAAACAGCCATTCATTTACAGGGAATTCTGCATTTGTGTCTGTGCTTGTGAATCCCAGTCAGAAATACACTGTGATTCATTGATTTTAATGGGGCTTTTCTACATCACAGGACAGAGGGCTCACCCAGGAGGGCAGAGTTTCCATCACCCAGGGGAAAGCGCTGGTAACGGGGCACGTTGAAGGGAGGCAGGAGGTGGAACTTCCTCTCTAGCAGAGGCTCCAGGCGGGAGGCTGAGGGATCGGCAGGGTGGAACAGGTTGTAAACCTGCTGACAGGCAGGTCGCAGCTGGGCCACTAGAGGGAGACGGTGAGCCAAAGACACGAGAGAGGAGAAGGGAGGAGATGGAGAAGTTGTGCTTTTGTATTTAGAAACCATATCTGTAAAACATGTACTAGTATTTAAGTATTGATCATATCAATCAGATATACAATTCATATTCACATGTTATACATTTCTTTTGACCTTATGCCCTCTGCAGGTCACACTACTTCTGAGTTCATCTCAACCTGGGACAAACCTCTAACTTTAGACAGTTGACCTGTTATTTTATCGTGTAGCTATCATCTATAACACTGTGGTTAATACTGAATTCCTCTGTTCCAAATAGCTTACCGTCCAGCATTGGAATGACTGTCTTTCTCAGTGCCAGAACCAAGCCCAGTGGAGAGCCAAAGAGGAAAAAGTCGGACACCTCAAAGTCAAACTTCCCCAGGGAGCCTCCATCCAGCATGGTGCTGCTGCTTGACCTGCGTGAAACCGCATCGCTCCGCAAGACACTGGAGTGTAAGCTGGAGGAACATCACAAAGTCATTTCCTCCCATAGACCTAAAAATACATCTCACTCCGACAGGACATGAAACAAGGATTGAGCACTTCTTTTGTCTACCAAATATCTGTCATTACACACACACACGCAAACATGCACACACGTGCATGTGCGTGCACACACCACACACACACAGACACACACACACACACCTGGACAGAAAGGACTGGTGCTGTTTTAATGTGTCCACTTCATATGTGGAGGAGTCACTCCTCTTGCGCGGCAGTTGTCTCTTGGTGTCGTCGCCTGCACCGGCACGAGGGATGTCGATGTTGCTGCGACTGAGGTGGCGGCTGCCCTCCAGGGTCGGAGAAGATGAGCCGTGTCCACTGTTGACAATGATGCCAGGAGAGAGGAGGTCCTGATCCTGCAGAGGAGATTAGTTACATTACATATCTCTAAATGACCTTATTATATTGACTCAATTAATTATAGTTACAGAGCAAACCAATCAGCAGGAAAATAAAATGAGTTTTTTTAGGTTCTGTCTTGTCTCTTACCTGGACACTGATGATGCTGCCCCTGCGGCTGCTGTTCTGACTTTCATTGACTGTCTGATTGCTGCTGCACAGAGCATCGAATCCCAAGATTCCTCCCACACAGTCCCCAATGAGACAAACCTACACAGGTCACACATCAGGGACAATATTTTATGATCACACTATGAAATCATGGGTCACAATTTACTTAAAATATTGATAGCTGGATGTTAACATAATAAAAGAAACTTATGTAGGCATTCATTGATAAATGGGTGTAAGTCAGATAACATGGAATTGACTGACAGTGTTATAATATTCTTTACATAAGGTAATAACAAGCCCACTATATTCTCATTTGTCCCACCACAGTTTTCATAATGAACCAAAATATCTTTTGACCGTGCTAACGTCACAGGAGATTGACTGACCTGGCCGGAGAAAGCAGACCCGTCCATGGACTTCAAAAAATCGGTGTACACCTGGTTGGCTCTGGCGATGACGGTGGCCACGGCCTCCTGGTACTGTGGAGCAGAGGTGGCCAGCAGGGGAAGCGCTGCCAATGGGATGTGGTCCTGGCTGCTGGACAGACATCCCTCATCATAGCTGTAAGGGCTCAGGCTGCAGCAAAAAACAAAAACATTTTTTGACATAATTATGAACATATTTTAAAGCCCAGAACAACCACAGAGGAGTTCGAAGAAATAAACACAGGAAGCAGGGGGTGAGGGTGATGAGCCGCACATGGAGCTACAACAGCAAACAACAGTCATAGCCAATAAACAGAAACCTCTCATCATTATCAGCGATATTTGCAGGCTGCTGAAAAAATCATTTGCATGTGTGTCCCCTTACTTGGACACCAGGGAGAAGGCCTCGGCACAGATGGCAGGGCAGGGCACCAAGCGGATGGCGATGCGTCCCAGCGCAGCAGGGTAGTGAACGCGCATGACTGTGTCAAAAGCTGTGCTAATAGTGTTGACGTCCGCCTGCTTGCTGTTCTGGTCCCCTCCACCTGTGTCCAGGATGTTCCCTCCGTGCAGAACCAAGATCAGCACGTGGATCTTGGAAGGCTGCAGGCACTGCTGGGACGAGCCCTCCTGGAAAGATTTAAATAGAAGGTGATGGTGGGAACACTGAGGAACAACAAATAGGAGCATCCTCACAGACAGATAAAGATCATGCTCACTGGAAATAACAATGCTTTTGTAATTAGGCATGAAATTACTTTGATCAGATTTGTGAGTCATGGCTTGTGAGTACTGGTGTCCATCTCTTCAAACATGGACCACACAACAAACGACTTCAAACAATGACAGCGGGGACGGAGAACCACGAAGGGGAACAGAACAGAGCCAACCTGCACTCCACCTGGACAACTGTTCAACTGACAGCAAACAATGACACTGCTTCCTGACGACAAGTCACATTTAAAGAACAGCACAATGTGTAGTTTTGTCTAACGTGGCGGATTCAAAACTTCACATTTTCCATAGAAGCACTGTGTGTACAGTCAACACCACGGGTTGAACAGAGGCTGGTGAGGTTGAGGAGTAACAGCAGGGAAGAGGGCAGGGGGAGAGTGAGCACTGGGATTGTTTCGGGGGGGGGTCAGGGGTCTCAGTGGAGCTGCTCAGGGCCACAGTGCACTGGGGCCAAAATGTTTACTTACTGACTGGTGCCTTGTTACTGTGATGGTGGGAATGGGAGAGCTATCGGCTTGGCCCCTAACAGAGCCACGCATCTGAACACAAGAGGACAGAGAGGCCTCAGGGACAAACAGCCTTCCTCTTTTCCTCTGAAGGGTCAAAGTCTCACATGAAACACTCACTTTGTCTAATAAAACCAGAACTGAAATTAAAATCAAGTTAAAAAAAATTATCTTTGGGGCCTCAAGGGCATTTCCTGAATATGTTTTTACATTTATTACCTTCACCAAGGAGGTTGTGCTTTCAGGTGTGTTTGTCTGTCTGTTATCTAGCAGGATTACACAACAACTACACAACGGATTCCCAAGAAAATTGGTGGAGGAATGTGTTATGGGTCAGGGAAGAAGCCATTCAATTTTGGTACAAATCCAGGTGCTTTTTAATTCACTTTCTTTGACATTGAGAGATAGCATGTTTTCAACACTTGATTTATCAGAGAATAAATCATCAGACATGTTTAAAGGACTCATATCTATTCAATTTGGTGCAGATCCAAATGATAATTGGACTCTAGTGAATTTACATGTGGTTTCATAAGGGGCCAGGTGGGCCTTGGTGGAGGTATGATCTCTACGGAGTGATTTTGTAGTGTCAGACATGTTTCTGCATCAAAGCAGGCAGGTTAGAACTGTGCTGCGTACACACTCACCTCATCTAGTCTGTCCTCGCTGGTTGCCCTTTCATAATCCACTGTCATTTCCTTAAACAGCTCACCTGAAAACACACAGACAGACACACACACAGACTCTTCATATTGAGTAAAACAGCAGTATGACTGTCTGATGAAGTTCTTGTGATGTTCTTCGTCATACCAGTAGTTTCCTCTGTGTCCGCCGCTTCAATCTTGTCCATGAGGTCGTTGGAGTTCCACTTGGCGATTTCCTTCGGGAAAACCTCCTCGCTGTCTGAGAGATCCTCTGCAGAGGCAACACGAGAAAAACCATCAACTGAAGCGCACGTGACAAACAGGGCTAAAAAATGTCGTTACACCAACACTTTAACCAACTTAGTGATTAACACAGTTGTATTAGTTACATTTGCTCATTCGGTTATCAAATGCAACAGATGACCAGCTTTTGAAACAGCTTTTCCCACAAGTTATAATACATCACTGCTTATCTGACGCCCTGATGTAAAGAATCACTCACTGGGGTGACCATCAAATACATGTTAGGCTGGATGTCTCAAAATACAACTTTTGGATTCATCTATGGCTTAAGAGCGAACAATATATATTAATATCAAAATCAAATGTCTATTGAGAAAAGCTTTTAAATGCGTGTGTCATGGAATTTATCTTAATATATAGATGGACCGTGTTCTCCATCCACACACATTTATCTGTGAATTTAGATTATTCCATAATTTCTCTCCTGGGAATTTTTTTAGTTTTACTGCCAGTATCTTCATTTCTAAGAAACACATTTGTTCCTGTTCAAAATAACTTTTACGATTTACTTTTAACGAACGTTTTACTAACAATTCTCACATATATCATTTTTCTTCCAGATGAATTCTAGTATAAATAATTAACTCAACTGAAGAAATGGAAATCATTATTTCAAAGTGACTTGGTTGCAGCCAGTTTCTCAGAAACACAAACACGAGTTGGATCATTCAGTAATCAGTTAAACATTACTGAATGAAAGTTGAATACAAGTTTTATTGTTTCTAAATTCTTTTCTAGTTTGATTCAGTTTTTTTCAGTGATAGGCAAGAGTAATGATCCAGTCTTCAACCAGAAAACAATGTCTTTAAAAATCTCATTAACTTTACAGTAGCAGGCACGGTGGTCTGTTTATATGAATAATTACTGCAGTTGTAGCCTAAAACAAATACGTTAATGGTGTATCATCATTCATAGATTTAAATAGATCTGATTAATAAGCTCTAACAAACCAAACACATCAAATATGATTTATATCATGAGTTCTCCTCCTGAAGGTTTCAGTAAGAAATACATTTTCTGTGACACACGAGGGGGGAAACACGTGAGAGACAAAAATAAACCTGGACCTGTCTCCCGCTGTGTGTTTATAATAGATGTTTACTGCAAGACGACCATAACAAACGTTAAAGAAAGAAATCTAATATCACAGGTCGTCTGAGCCAAGTCAGCCTGTTTCCAAATTGAATTTGCACACCTTCATCATGTGATTCATGCAGTCACCACAGCACACTCTCCAGCTCATTTAGTTTCACCCATCTTATTTACTTTACTATATTTTGTAGGCATCTGCTTATTTCATGAGGTCACCTTTACAGTGTAATAACATCTGTTCATCATTAACAACTGATCACTGCACTAACCGCTACTGAGACAGAGATGCACACATACTAATTAATGATCAGTTTATTTGATGATTGTGATGTGCTTTGTCACAGTCATTAATCCACACAGATTTCAACACTGCAGCACATGATAAATTATCAGACGTCAACACAATTCAGTCTAATGATTGGATTCAAGTTATTCACAGAAATAACACATGACAGCAACGTGCATGACTTTATTCATGTTTCATCATCAGGACTAAATCTACTCAAACTATAAGCACTGGTGAATTGGATGTGTGTGTGTATGTGTGTGTGTCAGTGTGTGTGTGTCAGTGTGTGTGTGTGTGTGTGTGTGTGTCTGTGTGGGAGGGACTAATGCGCATAGAAGACCGATTTGATCAACTTGACGTCAGGGTGAGACACATGGCCGGTCTCCTTGGCCAAAACTCATCCAGCAGAGAGCCAAGGGTTTGTTTTGCACCACACCCACCTACTTCATTTGCAGCCCCAAAGCATGCTGGGTATCTGGGAAGCTTAAGAACTGATCTGTGGTTAAAGAGATGCATGCAGAGTCAGCCAAGGTGGGAGCAAGTAGCTTCTAAGAAAACTAAACACAGTAAACTTAAGATCTAACCTCTACCTGTAAACTGCAAACATAACTGTGTTTACCATGAGCGTCGAAAAACTCCTCGTCCGAGCTGTCGTCTGAGTCTCGCGCTATGCTCTGCATCCTCCACTCCGAGATGCTGTGACGTGACGGGCTCACTAAAACAAACACACATGAGCAAAAAACAAAATCCACCATTACTGGACACCAATGGATATATTTGAGACATTTTAGCCCTTTGTAACACACACACTTATTAAAATTGTACAATCTCTCTGGGGCCCCCCCTTCAACACACACACACACACACACGTGTTATGAAAACATGCCACAGTCTCTGTGGTGCATTACTTCATCACAGATGGACTGGTGGTCAGGGAAAGTGTGTGAAAAGTGAGGTTCAATACAAAACAACCAAAAAGATGCAAGGACATGCACAACTTAATGCCAGCTGAGGAAAATGGTGATTCTAAAAGCAGGCCTTGTCTGTCACGTGTCTCAGTCTACGCCTCATATATCATCAGTACGAAGGAAGAAGGGTGGGTGTTGCTCTGAAAGGCGGGCTGGGGAGAGAGGGGAGAGAGGGGGGAGCACAGAGCTGTAGCTGTCAACGCACAGAAGACAACATCAGTGGCGGAGTGGGGGGAGTCACAGCGAAGAGCGTCAGCCTCCTCTGGTCTGTGATGTCAGCACTGCTGCTAAAAATAGCCCAGGAGAGAACCACAGGGGGGAGTTACAGGGGTGAGACGAGGCATGCTGGATGAGAGTCAGGGTCCAGGTGGCAGCTACAGTGAGCAAGTGCCTTGAGGTAGGGGTGACACTGGAGATCATGTGCGTTCGGAAATGTGGTTTGTGATGTCAGAGCTGCGGCTAAAAATAACCCAGGTAGGATCCACTGACTTGTAAGGGTTGAGGCAAGGGAGGCTGGTTCGTGGAGGGAACGTGGAGGCGTGAGTAAATTTAGTCCAACGGAGTAAAAACATTCCAATTAACATCAGTCGCCGGGCAGTGGAGCAGAGTGCGGTACA